TCTTTAGACAATGCAGTCCACAGTTTGTTTATGAATTCTATTTTGTTTTTTCGTATACAATTCCATGATAAGTTTACTAATAATTATTCAGAGCACACGATTACGCGTTCACTTATTTTCTATTATACAGCAGATTTAACGATTATTATGTATTAAGTTAAGTAAGTACTTGCATGGTAAATTGCAATTGGGAATGTAGGTATGAAAACATTCAATTAAAATTCAGAACACTATTCTGTGTCGCTCACAATCGTAAAAATTTTGAATAAACCGATGCATAACATTGTAGCTGACTAGCCCTCAGCGCCGATAAATTTCAATAGCGTTCATTTATGAGGTTGGGAGTGTACCATATAAATACTACGCTTCAAAATAATATTTTAAATAGCGAAAGAAGCTTCTACTCGCTTTCGATACGAAAGATTACTCTTTGGACTAACTACATCAAAGTTAGGCCATTATTAATTCTAAAATTACCACAAATATCATAATTATTCATTACAGAGCAATGGCCCAACCCAGTAGGGGCGATTGACTCAATACTCGACTACGGCTTATTGATTTCAAAAGCCACACTACGTACTTATGTATTTATCTGTTTTGTTAGGTATCAAGAATATTAGTCGTTTACGTTGCGTTGAAAACTCGACTATGAAATTGTACAAGTATGCACTAATGTACTTTTAACCAAGTTTCTTCTTAATAGCTTATACACAATACGAGCGACGCCGTCGGAGATTTGAACACACGATTGTATATGAAGATGAACACAATACGCGACAACGGCGAATTTCGACCACCATGACAATTTTTGAGATAGAGCTATTATTAATTTTATCGTCGTCCGCTGCGGCAAAAACGGTATCAAAGAAAGATTATTTTCAGTAAAAACCTTAAGAATTTTCAAAAAAACAAATGTCTGCGTTGATTATTAAGATTGTATATCTATGTTTGGTTTCATCATTTATTGTGATATTTTTGAGCGCGGAAAACACACTAGCTGCGACGGAAATCGTCCGTATTGCGTTTTACAAGGCGGCAACACTCGGCTAAAATTCGTCCGTCTGCGTCGCCGAGTATGACGAATATTCGTAGCCGACTGTATTGTGTTTAGGCAGTAAAGCAGTCAAACTTCCATATTTGCATATGTGTTCAAGTTTATATGCAGCTGAGATTGCTTTCAATCGGACAATACTTTCTCCTGTTCCCTATATGTCTAATTGAATGATTTCTGCCTCTATGGGGGGTGAGTATAAAGTCTAAAATTCGAAAGTTCGAAAATCATTATATAAGGTACATATGTATATGGTGGCTTGGATTGCCACCTGCTTTATTGCATAGCTGAATTATTTATTGCACCGGACCACATTATTTTTTTTATAACCCCACGATTACCCTCCTCCCGCCCAACCGACGCGAGGGGCGCAATCCGCATACGTGCGGAATTAGCCGAGTCAGAAAAGGCAAGAGAGTTTTTTAAGAGATCTTTGAGATCTAAAACTGCTCAGCTACAGAAACAAAAATTTCAACAGCTAAGATTTATAGTTACAATATAATAAATTGTTACATTTTCATTTATTAAGAGAAAACAATAAAGTCTTTTTAATTTTGAAAAGTGAGTCAGATAAGTCAAATGTGCTGGAATGAGAATTAAAATCATGACATATACGGCGGAATGGCTCGTTTAGTTCAAAATTTGATCTACAGGATTTTAGCAGTAAAGGTCTAAACTGCCTCGAAAAGCGAACCGGGATATTAAATTTAATTTCAGACAGGAGAAAAGAACTGCAAACTGTTCCATTCAAAATTTTCACTAAGAATATTATGCCAAGCATTTCCCTACGACTAGAAAGTGTAGGTAGATTAATAAGTTTTAAACGACTAGTGTATGGAGGTAGACTTACCCTAGAATCCCATCGGAAATGCGCTAAAGCGAAAAGTAAAAATTGTTTTTGAACAGACTCTAACTTGTCAGAATGGATTTGGTATTGTAGATAAAATTATCACGAAAAGTTGACTTCTTCATTTAATTGATTTATTTTTTTAAGTCTATTTTGTGCAAAATTTTGTTGGGATATCTTTATTATTGCTTGATTTATACATTGTAAAGAAAAATAATCTAATTTAGTTTAACACTGTGACTTGAAATACCAGAAGGAAATGTTTCCCATAAATTTGGGTTTACAACTTTACTATTTTGTAAGATATATCCATTAAACCTCATTAAAACCAAATATAGCACTTTGCATATATTCCTTCGATTATCCAAGCGTTACCAAGGTATCTCAATTTTCACGCAAACTATATCATGCACGGACAGACAATACGGACAAATAAACATTCAGTAATCAACTAGTCTCAACGTCCTATTATTTTTGATATATTACTCTATATACATATATCATTACATTTATTAATTTTACAAACAACCGTTAAATGATCAAAACTGTTGTTCAGATTGCGTCATTGTATAAATCTACAAGTAACCGAGAACGTATATCATATATATTATATGATTACAGATATGGATTCACGAAAAACGAATTTAAAGGAACCATTTATTCAGTAGCAGATTTATAGATTTGCCGCCTGAAGGCTAATCAACTTTGCCGCTTCCAAATTTTGATACTTTAGTCCACCATCATGTCCGATATCGCACTACTATAGCATGTAGTTGCCATACAAACTGACCGATCAAAATCAAGTTCTTGTATGGAATTTTTTAAATTTTTGAAGCATGTTTCGGTGCAGCCGAAGGTAACGTTTTTTCTTGTTATATGTTGTTTCTGTAGATTTAAAAAAAAAAAAAATTTTGGCCAAAAAAAAAATTTTTAAGTAATTTTTCGCCTCAACGGGTACTGTAGCTGCAACAACCGCCATCTTCACACCACTCCCTCACACCCAGGCACCCGCGACAAACTAGAGTTCTACAATTTATCTGCAACGGATCCCAGAGTAAGATCGAAGAGATAGTTGCATTTATGAGTCAGGAAACAGCCGCTAGGATCTTTTGAATTGTGCACGTTTGAAAAGAACGACATCGATCTCTGCATTACCTAGAATGGCAGGAGATAACTATTGGGTCAGGCGATGTCAGGCGCATACGTGTTCTGTTTCTTTGTAAGAACCGTTAGATACTAGGATTCAGCACTCCAGCATATCAAACAATCGTAGGGTAGTTTAGCGTAGCTAGCGGTGGTCTGAATAATAGCATAACGTTGAGACCTATACTTACTCTCTCATCAGACCATCTGCTCACAATAGTCTCGATCGAGGAGCCCCCCGACTATACCATATTTCTGTGGACAACACCTTTGTTAACTTTAAAAAATTGAGAGAGACCGGCGAGCAAGGGGGGGCGCTACCCTCCACTCAGGAGCTTCTGCGCGCCGGGAGCAATGCGTACGTGTCCGACTGCAGCACTGGAAGTCATGCTAGAACTTACACCGCTACACCTAGTAATCAAACAGACAGCCAAACAGACTCTACTCCAAATGACAGCAGAGGGAGGTGGCAAAGGGAAGGTAATCTCATCCCAGCAGATGAAGGCGCTAAGTGAGGAAATGCCACTGGCTCTTCTCCCGAGGGACAGCATTACCAAAGTAGTAAACTTCACTAAGAAGTTCAAAGTTACCCTTGGCAGCAAGTCTGAATGGAATGATTCATCACTGGACCTGCTGCTAAGGGAAAGCACTATCAAGTGGTACACCGACGGGTCGAAAACGGAGGAGGGGTTTGGTGCAAGGGTCGCTGGGCCAAGCACCAAACTCTCCATTCCCATGGGAAGTTTAACGAGCATTTTTCAAGCCGAGGTCTATGCTATAAGTCGGTGTGTAGAGATAAACCTCCTACGCAACTATCGCAATAAAAGTATTGCTATACTCAGCGATAGTCAGGCGGCACTAAAAGCGATCTCTGCCCATGAGGTCAGATCACTTCTAGTGTTGGAGTGTATAGAACGGTTGAACAGCCTATCAGAGCACAACCGAGTGCACCTTATTTGGGTGCCTGGCCACAGGGGTATAGCCGGGAACGAACTGGCTGACGAGTTGGCCCGCTCTGCAGACTCTACAAAAATGGTAGGACCGGAACCATTCATAGCGGTTGGTCCACATACCATTGAAGAGCTCCTCCGTAGGGAGGAAAGAGTAGGTAGGGAGACACATTGGCAACAACTTCAGGGCATGCACCATGCCAGACTGCTAATGGGGGGTTACGACCTCAAACGGATCAAAACCACAATTAATTTCCCGAGGAACAAATTCCGGCTACTTGTCGCGTTCTACACCGGCCACTGCAGGCTTAAGAAGCACCTCTTCAACATGGGCATAGCCTCTTCTGCAAACTGCCGGTTCTGCGACATAGAGCTTGAAACCCCTGAACATTTGCTGATGAACTGCACAGCAGTCTGCAGACACAGAATCAAGGCCCTGTGATCCATGTTTCCACACAGGGATTGTATCGCCTCACTAGCACCCAGCAGAATTTTGGAATTTATCAACATGCTGGGCCTAGATGATACGATATGACTTAGGGGAGGGCACAATAGACCATAGGTCGCGGTGAATACCTCAAAATTAAAATATCTCTCTAACGCCTAAATGTAGTGAGACACAGACGAAGAAACATCAGACCTGTCATAATACTGAACTCCTTACAATAATAGAATACCACTAGATGTCTCCCATCGAGCATGGCGTTCATTCTAGATTCTGTATTAGGTTAAACTGCTACTGTTGTTGTTGTTGTAAAGGTTACCTAGTCCCCGCTTGGGTGATAAGTTATAGTTTGGTTTTCGTCGAGGTCATATAAGGGAGGGCCCAGGAAACCAGCTCTTTCGACGGGGTTGGACTATAGATAAATGGGTGTTAGATGAGTGGGTTTCGTTGGGCATGCAAAGAGGTGGTTAGTGTCATGTGGAGACTCATAGCACGCAGGACATATATTTGGTATGTCTGGTCTACTCTGCATAAGTAGGAGTTTAGCTTGCTACAATATCCAAAACGAAGTTGCAATTCCCACAATAGCCGGTTCTACGTTACTGGAATTAACCCGGATTTTATCCGGCCAATGTCTGTTATTTCGGCGATCTAACCCTGTTTGGATCGGTAAGTTTTAGTTTTTTAAACTGCTACTCATACATAATAGACCCTAACATACCTAATCTACGACTTGAATGCAACGAGATATATTATATACTGTGTAGAGGACGTTGCAAAGCAGTTCGAGCGGGTTCTGGACCGCCACGTTACCGAGTCAAATCCTTAATTGGAAAATCTAATTTATACAAAATCGAAGATCACTCATAATAAAGGCCTAATTTATTTAGAGAACTAGCATTAATAATTTTCAGTCCTACTACCGTATGCACACATTTAATAATGTTTTAAAAAGGTGGTATTTAATTAACCAAATTTTATAATTGATTTTCTTTACAAATTCAACATATGATATATTCTAAAATTATATTTTTATTTAGCTATTGCACATAATTAAGCTATGAGTTGAAAATTAGAATCTGACAGGTCAAATATGATGCAAGCAATACATTACAACAAACTAAAAGAACGACACAGACCAAATTGCATATTTCATTACCAACAGATTTCGAATGTCTTATATGTATACTACAAAAAAAATACTATATATACATATATGATTGTTAATGTGTTTTGAATAAATCAGTTAAGTATATTTACATACATATATATGTATGTATATTTATAGTTGTCACTTCAGCAAGCTGTTCTTAAAATCCTATATATATGCATATTGATTAACTGAAATAATGAAATTGCAAGTGATAAATGTAAGTATGTATGCACAGGTGTCCACATATTTTATAAATGCTAAAAACGTATGAATTTTGAGCAAAGTATATACTGATATTTAAATATTAAATATTTACCATCATTTAACTTTCAGTTAGTTTTAATATTTGCAAAAAATTATACTTAAAAAATTAATGTTGATTTCTTGTAGAGAAAACCGTTGAGTTTGTCTCAGCTTTCTCAGCAATACTTTCAATGCTTTCGTTGCTGCCTAACCTTACAAGTGTAGGCTTCTTTTTCATAGCTTCCGCAGCAGCAGCCGATCGGGGCCCCATCATATAATATGTTTTCGGTGGCGACTTTTGCTTCGGCATTTCTGGCATTGTTCCTTTGGCCTTCCGCTGTTCTTCCCTTGAACGAGTCTCATTATTTACCATGTCATTTGGATTGGGAATTGGATTATAATTGCTATTTCCAACTTTTTGAGGGCGAAGTTTCTCCGGTATCATAAATGATTTCAACTCCAACTCGGTCGTGTTAACTACTTCACAATCGATTTGCATTAACATTATATCACCATTAACTGATGGATCACCAGCAGGCAGCATTAGTGACATTTTCGGACGTGCGCTCTTGTTATAAGCTGAGGCCGGCAACAGTATGTGATCCATGTTAAATGATAGGACATAGAATGTGTCGTCTTGCCTTTTTATGCCTTTAAACAAACGTAGGTATTCCTCACTAATTTTGGGCTTGAAAATATCCAAGGAGTTCTTATCATTTCCAGAGTTGTCATCAATTTCGTTCGCCTGTGGTGTCTCCAATTTGGGTTGCTTGCTTTGAACCAATGGTGGTGTCATAATAAGTTTGCGTTTCATTTTAATTGTCGAAACATCCTCTTGTAGAGGTAGTTGCAAAGGTTTCCTGTCATAATAATCCGATGAAAATTTCCTCAGGCTTAAAGAGTTGTCCAAATATCCATTGCCATTTTCCTTATACAAGCTCAAGTTCAAGTAGTCGTTAACGTCAATCCATTTGTGCAAATTACTATGCAAACGATGATTTTCGGTATAGTTTGAAACGTTTGCACACTTTTTTGACGCGGATGTTATTGGCATCTCGTTTGTTGTTCTATTGGCGTTCTGCTCCTTTAACAGTCTTCCCCTAGAGCGATTAACTGGATGCAGGAAATGTAGTGGAGGCACATCCATTTCCGCTTCCCTCTTTGTGTTATTTAACTTCTGCTTAAATTCATTTTCCGTTTCGGCCCAAAGCAAACGCCGGCCTGTAGATGGCTCCTCAGAATTAGTTGGATCCGACTCAATTGAATTCTCAATGTGGTTTTTATTCATATAGTTATGAAAATTACCCACATTCAAGGATACCATAAAGGCCAGAGCGAAGAGAATCGCTATGTTCTTCTTAATGTTAGTGGCTGTCATCCGTTGCTTTAAACTTTTTCCGCTTAGTTTCGGTGCAATTTTCACATGTTGATCGCTTACTTTTGCATTGATATCTAAAGTATTTAAAACAAATTCACTTATGTTGCTGTTTTTGCATTGACAAGATTGTGCCAAAGCGACCAATTGGGAACGCAACGATGAATTTTCCTAAGAAAATTAATCAAATATGTAAAAAATTAATAAAATTACTAAGAGCAAGCGAGGTAAAGAATATTCAAATGAAAAATTATTAATATGGATATGTGTATGTGAACAATATTTCGCTAATATCTCTCTTTTTATACCAGGCATTTATAATTCACATTAGGACAAACATAATTCACCATTTTTTCGGTTTAGAAGCTTAGAAAAAGCTTACCCCTTTCAGTGTACAGTTTTCCTTTTCTAAGTCGCTGATACGTGACTCCAAAGAAACAACGTACTCCTTTTTCTTTTTGCGAGACAAAGAAGCAGATTCCCTGTTTTTGATCATGCGCTGCTGTTTCTTCCACATTTTCTCGTCAATGAGACCTTTATAAACACTTAAACTGGTAGGGCTGGAGCTTATAAAAGAGGACTTTGAAGTTCCCATGGTATTAGCACCTAAGTTTGTAATCTTTGACGATGGTTGCTTAATAAACACTGGTCCATTGTTTGTCTTACCAATTTTAGGTATCAAGTTAGAATGCATGCCTAACGCACCGTTGCCAGAAGATACTATTTTGTTGGCTGTAATAACTTTTCCACTTGCGGTTTTCAATATTATTTTAGGTGAATTTGTGACAACACCCTTTATATTTTTCCCATTTATTTGGGTTAATGCTTTATAATCATTTAAAGTTAGAAATACAGTTTTGGGTTTCGCATTTATAGGAGGAACAACTTTTGTAGCAATTGATGAGGAGGCAATGGATGTTTTAGCGTTATTAGAGTTATCAACGTTCCCTTTCGGGGCCAGTTTCGGTTCAACTTTTTGTTGTGACGACTGTTTGTTCTGGCTGGTTACTTGTGCTATAGATTTTATTGCTACGGTCTTAACAGGGAGCAACGTTCTTGATAGCACACTAATAGGTGCAACTGGCTGTAGGGGCTGAATTGTTTGAAGGTTAGCTGCATTGGTGGTAGTTGTGTTCAACGGCACCAGCGGTACCATTAATGGTAATGAAACGGTTACATTGCTTGTATTTATCGCTGGTAAAACAATAGTTTGTTGTTGATCTACTGGAGGCGATATCACTGTTATAGGTGTAAAGCAGTTCTCCTCTTTTATTTCTAAAGCGGGTGTATGGTTATTCTCATTAGATATTTCCTCCTTCATGCAATTCAAGACATCTAAGGGGGGATTAACATGCGTATAAGTTTTAGTTTGTGAACCTATTGATGAAACATCGCTCTGTACTCCACTCGTTGAACTACCACCAGAACTACTACAACTATCCGTAGGAGAGGGCGTATTACGTTGTCTCAACTCATTTTCGTTAAGGAAATTCATCTTTACGTCATCGTTTTTCAGAAAGTTGATAAAATCATCTGGGTTAAAGCTGTCTTCATCCATTGATGAAATGGACGAAGTACGCTGTGACTTGTGGATGGAGTTACATGTCTCAGGACTGTACAATTCGTTAGAGGATAGTGGCAATGCAAAATTAAATTCATTATTCGTCGATGCAGCTTGCGATGAAGAGTTATGAATGTTCACATCGAAGGGTAAGTCAAAATCTTGCACATTATGTGTATTAAGATTATTCAAGTCAATGGATGAATCGAGATGTGAATCAGTAGAACGTAGTATTTCTTCAATATCATCAAACGTATAGTTGTCTGATGACGGCATCAATCTGTCGAAATTCCCTAAAAAGAATATTCAATAAATAACAAAAATAAGTTTTAGGTAAGATTTCTTCATAATCTGTTCAACAGCATTATGATTTTTTAAGTTATCTTTTATAAATAATATATATAATATTTAGAAAGTCTTTTACACCACACTTGAATAGCGTGTAACTATAGTAAGGTACTAATAATACGAATAGCATAAAATGAAGCTTCAGAATAAATAAAATTTAATGTGATCATAAGAAAATGCATACATACATACATATATGAATGACTACATGAGTGAGTTTCTAGAAATGTAACTTAAGTAGTAAACTTTACAATATAACTATTTATTCTTTGTCGATAACTTTATATGAAAAGTTCCACAATTTATCATTTTACACGGCTTTGCAAATATTTGTCAAATATAAAACGAAAGAATGAATCAAATGACACGGCTTTTGTACCCGTAGTGGTAATTTCACCCACCGTAGAAACTATCGTCGTCACACGTCTCCATGTCCATTTTTGCAATCAGTACATTTAGCTCCTATTTATTTATTTCCAAAATAAATAGTGTTATACACATTTTAAAAACAACTAACGTATTTTTTGATCAATTATTATCCAAACTCTCATTCACTAATTGATTAAATTTATCTTTGTTTCAATCAGAGAATTTGAGGTTTTCCGCTTCAATTGCATACGAAAGCAAAAACACAAGGAACATACTAAACGGCAAAAAACAGAGTTGCTACTGAATGTTATCAGATTTTCTTACAGTCGCATCCCCTACGTTGGTACGGAAATTATTAAGGTTATTACGGTTAATATAATTCAATTGCCACAACGAAAATTGTAGGATGTTTTATAAAGTTTGAAATAAATTTCCATTAGCGACGCATATCACGGTGTAAATATTTATCACACATTTAACCAGTTAGGATAGGAATATTTCAATTGTGGGAAGCTATGACAACATTTTCCTTATATGTCAAAAGTCAATATGTAAGAGCCAATCCGGTTTTACATAGGTTTTACAAAATGGTTTAAACTATTGTAGATATTACGGAAACACACTTACTTTATATACTTGATAGTTAAGTAGAAAAATCTTTAAATATCTGTAAGAAGAATCTTGTAAAAAACTAAACTAAGTTTTTCTCGATAAAAGAATGATAACTCATTACATCTAAGACCGCTTTGTTTCTCAGGGCTCTATTCCTTCGGAAGTTGTTCTCTAAAGTTAAAGATCAGAGAAAATACCACGTATTTAAACAACCTGTAGTCGATATCTAACTTTTGTATCTACTGGGTACTTTTATGACTCTAATGACAATGATAGCCATTCGACTGTTACCTTTTGCTTAAACATAGTTGACACAGAGAACATTTACGTTCTCTATTTCTCTATTAAATTTTAATAACATACCGCATAAACGCAAAGAATTTAGTTTGAATATCATTTTATTTTAAACAAGAATTGTAACTAATTCAAGGATGTTTTATAATAAAAAGAAAAAAATATGGAATAAAAAAATTATGTATTTTCAATACTTAAAGATTAGGAAATTCTTGTTATAAATATGGCCTTGAAAATATTAGTGGCGGGTATTCAATACATTCTGGTTGATTAGGGAATTACCGACTTAAGTATTTCTTTGAAACTAGGGTAGGTATTTTGCATATTGTCGTACCATATTCATGGTAATTCATTGCATGCAAAATGTGAGACCATCATCCCAACATACAAATGAAATATGCAACACGCTCTAAGTGTTGCGCAGTCAAACCGCACAAAATTTTTGAAAATTTTATGAAAAGGAATGACAGAAAAACTCAATTTAAGTTTATGGACTCTTTGTGCTCGTGTGAATGCACAGAGCGACACCAAAAGAGAATTTGCCGATAATGAGAGTCAAAAAAGTCTCAATGTACATGCACACTAAGTTCTCTGATATTGCTAGCAATACAGATTCTTTAATTGCCTGTCGAGATGCCCTCTAAGGATGGTTGGCCACTCTGTATTTGACAGCTAAATAAACATATCAGCAAAGAACGTATATCATATATATATATATACGTTCTCTGATATCAGTTGTTATGTTGTGAGTGATGAACAATTTATTTATATGATTTTAATGTACGAGTATATTTTATTTGAAGTGTATTAATTGATAATAAAACTAAAAATATGGCGACTTATTGTAACCCGCATTGGTTACTTTCTCATATACGCAATTCCTTCATTTCTACGGATGATACAGGAATGTGTGAGACCGTAATGTTGAGCAATGATATGCCCAAGAATTATTTGCGTAAATATCAAACCACACCTGTTACTAATAACGTTGCGATTCAAAACAGGCAACCACAACAACGAAAATCAATTGGAAATAAACAACAGTTACAAGAAGTGGTAGATCCGGCACTACATGAAGTAGATTTTGTCTGCTATCCAGGTTTGGACCAAAGTGATGATGAAGATATGGACTTAACTGCACAGTCTTTCGAAATTCAAATGTATCCGGAAATATGGGCACAAAGGTTTCGCTCAAACACTGCACAAAAGTTGGAAAAAATGGACGAAGCTCGCCGTAACGCTGCGAAAATAAAGTCTGTTAACTACGAGGATGAAATTGTTCCTCCAGAGCGCAATGATTTCTTTATTAAAAAAACTGTGCCAAAAACATCAGGGCAGAACGACAATAACGAAAAAAATCTCGACAAAAGCATTGACGTCACTGATGATGCTGGTGGGGGAGGTGACGGTAGCTCTGTAGTAAAAAGCAAGCTTGCCTTACAATTAGCTAATAGTCCAAAGCAAGCCCAAAACAAATTTATTGAATATGCACGCTTTGATGGCACTTCTCAAAGGGGAATACAAACAAAACGTATTGGCGTATTCTTAAGTATGTTGCCCGAGCGAGACAGAAATTACCCCCTTAAGATCTGTGTTCTTGCTAGTGCAAAAATTTTTGAGGTAAGTTTAAACATGTTTAATTTTCAGAATCAAGAAATATAAGAAATTTATACAGGTTATTGGTCTAGTTTGCTATAAGGCAACAATACAGTATCCGAAGATTCCATTAAAATCTATACGGCATTATGCTTTGTATATAACAGAAGATAATGATGCCATGGAAGAATTTCCACCACTTGATGATAAAGAGCCCTGCTCTAAGTTTGGATTTTCCCATTTAACTTTAGCAGAGCGACGGCCACTGGCGCAGGTGACACGGATTGACTACGCTAATAACATGGCTACAAAATCAATGACATCGGAGGAAGATAAAGCAAGGTTGGCAGCAGCAGCTGTACAATCTGTCCAAAGTATGGAACCTACTGCCAGCGGTGGAGGCGAAGAAGAGGATCCCAATTGTGCTACTAACAGCAACAATGATGATTATGAGGAACGTATGATGAGTCACAATGATATGTTGGAAGCCCCTATGTATCGCACTTATCGGTTGAACATAATTGAAAAACCTTTCTTTCGAAGAGATGTCACTCTAGGAATTTCTGGAGAGCGTATCGAAATTGATCACCATAAAAATGCGAAATTTTGGAGCAAGCAAAAAGCTGTTACCTATCCCATTGATGTAATTGCTTTATGTGAAATTGTAGAGCGACGTAATTTAAAAGCCACAATTCGCATATGGTTAAAATCATCTTCATCAACGACGAACAGTTCCAAATCGTCTACGGATTTAAAATCGACAACACATGTTATAGAAAGTGGTGGTGCTGCAGTGCCACATTCTCCCACAAGTCCGGGACATCATCATCTGCACGTCCCTTCACCGTTTGGATTTTTTTCAGCCAGCTCTAGCAGTGGAGGCAGCTCCACTAGTCATCACTACTCTCACATGCGATTCAAGCATTATGATTTTGAAGCTGACACCCATACCGCAGAACATATTCTAAACAAATTAAGTTGTATACTGAAAGTAAGATCCAGTGAGGTGCGCAGGGAGTTCCTGCAGTCAAGAGAACGGAAGTTAGAAAAAAGCCAGGCAAAAAAACAGCTAAAAATGTAGTGTTTGCGTCTTTATTGTAGTTTTTTTCTTGTGATTTGTGTGCATTTTCAAAATAAATATGGCACTTACATTTCCAAAGTTGGCAAATGAAATTGAAATTAATTTTTTATTCTAGGTTAGATCGTATGAGATTAATAGAATAAAGATAAACAAGAAAACCGCTTAAAATTAATATTATTTAAACTTAAAATTTTATTACAATTAAATTGCATTGCATTAAATGTTTCTGTTGTAATGCCCCGTAATAAAGTAAAAATAAAAGTTGCGCTGAGATATGAATATTTTATTCTTGTTATCTTATTCCACATACATATATGTACATGCATTTATTTGGGGACGCAAATCAAGCGCAGTAAGTTTAAACTTGGGAAAAAATTAATTATGTATAATTCTGTGGTGATTAAATTATAGACAAGAAAACAGAGTTTCTTAAATTTGAAAAATATTTTTTAATTACTTACTGTTTTCGACATATAAAAAAAGTATTTCTCATTATAATAATCAAAATAATACACATTTTATTGTACTTTAGTAAGGAAATCATGGGCACGACTTCAAGTCATTAAATTTTTAATATAGGGTGGCTCTCGAATCGTGCTACACAAAAAACCGTAATAACTTTTTTTTATTTGACAGACTATTATTTAAAAATTTAAAAATAGCAAGGATATTGAAAAGAGGGTTTGAATAGTGCAGCGGTACCATACTTTGCAGTCTGTCATTACCGTTCAAAGGAAATTCAGGTGGGATTTTGGCGGCACTTTCCCAAGTAGATGGACCATTATGAGGTTGGTAAACATGTAATCATAAGTATCGCAAGAAGACCGTAAAGTGATCTAAACAGAAATGTAAACAAGCAAAATTGTCTTGTATGGAGTGAATCAAATCCAGAAATAGCTCGCGAGACGAAACTTCACCCAGAACGAGTCACTGTGTGGTGCGCGGTTTCATCAAGGTGTATTGTCGGGCCATACTTCCTAGAAGAAAACGGTGTAACAGTAACTGTCAATTGGTACCGTCATTTTAAGATGTTGAATGATTTTTTTTTACCCAGAACTGCGACGAAGACGTATCCCTTTAAATAGCGTTTGGTTCCAGCAAGATGGAGCAACTGCCTAGCACACTATAGCCTGACTGGTTTTTGCGGAGCTCCAACGAAAATTTGATAACAAATTAATATCAAGAAATTCACTTTCCGTTGGCTCTTAAAGTTACCTGACCTTACTGCACCAAACTTTCTTTTATGGAGTTATGTCAAGTAAGAGGTGTACAAAACAAAACCCAGAAATTTGACTGAATTGAAGCAGTCCATTAAATCGATAATTAGGCAGTCCCGACTTTAACCCTTCAGGCCGCAATGAATAATTTTCTAATTAGGCATGGATGTCATTTAATGTCCATAATTTTTAAAAATAATAAATTATATAAAATTAAATTAAATTTGCTATAAAATACAAAAAAAAAATATATGTAATGAATTGATTAAAAAAAGTTATTACGGTTTGTTTTTGTAGCACGATTCGGGAGCCACCCTGTATTAAATTTTTTATCAAAGTTTTGGTTTTTGTTTAATTGTTTATATAGTTACATCACATAGTATGAATAAACTGGGTCCTTTAAATTTTCCATTTTTCATTCCCTTTTTAATTCTTTTACGGGAATAAACAGCTGTTCACTTTTAAAAACGCTAGCAGATAATATTCGCCACAGATCCTCGATAATGTTTAAGTCCGGACTTTTTGATGGCCACTCTAAAAGCGGAATTTTCTGGATTTGAAGAACCTTGTAGTAAGAGTTGCATTGTGGATCGGGGCATTGTCTTGCTGGAAACTCCAATTGTCGTAAAGCTGACTTGAAAATTTTATCAATTCACTTCGAGCAAGTCCAAATACATTGGTGGATTCATATTTGTCCTCCGCCGTGTAGTCGACAGAGACAGGTGCTCCGCAGGTTTTGTGTATGCTGCCGATTAGAGGTATGCACCGCGACCCTGCGATCGGAATAAAACTCCTTTTCATTCTTAAATACCATTTTTCGCAAATGCTAAACGAACGCTTATAAGTAACATACATATGTCTAATCAAAAGGTCAGGTTGTGGTACCATAGAACATTTTTATTACATTATTTTAGCATTTTGATGTATCATTTGACAAATTCTCATTCTTGTAACATTTAAACCCAAATTTCGCTTTATTTCTGAACATTTGATTAACGTGTGTTTGACGTTATATTAGACGTTTGAATCAAGCGTTTATTTTGTTTTTCTATCACTGCGCTGATTAGTACCATACTTTGAAGGGTTTTCGAGGAAATTACTAATTGTATTTGTATGGCCGTTTAGTGAAAATTTCTTTTATTTCGATACCACTTGCACGCAGACCTAGTGCTCGTCCCTGTTCAAACTCTGGAAGACTTGTTTCATGCGGCATATTTCAAATAAATCCAAAACTATTGACTAGATTTTTATTTTTAATTATTTACCTACTTTTAGATTCACAGGTATTTATTATATGCACGTACGTATGTACATACATATATGCAAATGGCAGAAGTGTATATATGTAGCATATATTAGTATAATAATGTAATCCAGAAGCGAGGAAATATACAGTGGGATATCATTAAGATAACTTGCGAAAATGAAGCTCGTTATTCGCTACATTAAAACTCGCGATAACTCGCTATTGCTGTATTAGGTTATAGTTATTGAGATCCCACTTTAATTTGTTATGTGTAGATATGTTTGTTAATATTATGTGTTGTGAAAATGAAAAGCAAACATTTTCAAGAGCATTCTGCGTTTGATGTAAAAATAGAAATGCATTGAGGGTCGACCGCTCGCACAACTGCCGCCAGTGCCATTTCTTTTTACATGCATTTGCTTTTTCACTCAAACATTCACATAGGCGCGCACTATAATTGTTCCGTAGTTTCAGTTTGCACTTTGAAACAATTGCAATACAGTTCCGGTTTTCCATGAAGCGTGTTGAGAGCGCAAAGCTCTGCTCTCTTCCTCGTTCGTAAATGATCGAGCCCCAAATGGCATTGCCGATAATTGTCAGATGAACTTGAAATTCTGTCTGTGTATAGTTCCGGCCTGTTGTGATAACGGTAACGGCTGCTGACAGGTACTACTTAATTTTAGATTTTTGCAAGTTTAATGTTTTCACTCTTGATCAATCGTTGTATGCCGTATATATTTTTATATACATATATACTTTTATATGAGTTTGTAATCACAATATAGTGATACTGAGTTACCTAGATTAAAGTTGACTTAGTACTTGATATGCTAAGTTGGCGATCTGTGAAAATTAAAAGCAGGAAACTCCGTAAAAATTCATTCCAATATTATATATACAAATAGAAATTTGTATAATTTATTTTACACTCGCATCATGTTGCGCAGAGTACAATAGTTCGTTCACAGTTGTTTGTAACAGTTGTTTGTAAAACCATGTGGGCTGAATTTCTTTTTAAAGTGGGCATGGCGCCTTCTAAGAGGTTGAAAGTGCACATCTCACAAATAACTAAATCTAAATCACCTTTTCATGCATTGTGAAAATGCGTAAAACCAGATAATAACACCCACACGCCATATAAAGATTATGTTAAAAACTACTAAAAATGCGATAACTCACTAAATAAATATACGATGTCAAAATTGTACTGCCCACCTTTAAGTGAAATCCTTTACCTTTATCCAATCGGCCATTTTCAACTAAATTTCGTGCGTATATTTACATATATTTGTATATGGTACCTACGTCACAGTGTGAAAATAAGCGAAATCAGACTACATTCACACCTACGGCTATAAAAATCAAGCACGTTTCAACTGTCGTCTATGTAGGTAGGTAAGTAGAGTGGATGTTTGACGACGCACCTCGGCCTTTAGGTGCCCATTGTGAAACCAGCAGCACCAAAATAGTCTAACTCTATTATGTCCTCTCTGAACCACCCTGATGGAGTTCATCAATACAAAAAGTTTAATCTGTGCAATCTCCGAAACATCGTCAAGAAACCCTCGACCGATTGTTGCGATTCTTTTCCTATACAAAGCTTTCCATTAGCATAGAAGATGTTCTATAGTCTCCTCTTCTTCTACCTCTGGACAGCTTCTACAATAGTCATGGTATATTGTTTCCAGTCTGTTGACATGTCTGTCAATTGAAAAGTGACCTGTTAGTATTCCTACTAGAGCTCTCATTCCTTTTATTAGTCCTCATGTGCGGACGATATTTCATTCATGCCACTCAGCTGTATTTAAAACATGCTTGACGATTAAATAGCTACAAGTAGCATGAGACACATAATTTTTTCTTTTTCGGAATCTAATTGTAGGGTGGGGCCTACTCTAGCTAATTCATTTGTTTCACAGTTCCAAGGAATATCTCTCGTCTAAAATTTGTAAAAATCGAACCATAACTTTTCAAGCCCCTAAATACCGAAGATGTAAATATCGGTCAATCTGTAAGATTTATTATTAATATTTATGAAAAAACATTTTGTCGATAATTATGTGCCATTGTGTAAAAGTGGATAAAATTAGGCCATACCCCATTGACCTGGGGGCTATACCTAATATAAAAAATTTTGAACTTGCGGCTAACTATTTCATGAAAACTAATTGCCCAACTCCCATGTACTACATATAATGATGTTGTTGGAGCAGACTTTATGCTGAATATGTCGATCAGCATATCTCACATATGCAATGCATTAAATTTAGCCTCTTTGATTGAGTTTACCATATGTCACATATGTGTATGTAATATGTTAAGTATTTGAGTTAATAGGTTTGATAAGTTTAAGTTACTATTGCCACTATATCATATACATAGCTGCCATACAAACTGAACGATAAAAATTAAGTTCATGTATGAAAAACTTCTTTATTTGTGAAATGTAAGCTAGTTTCGGTGCAACCAAAGTTAACGTTTTTACTTGTTCAATTAAAATTTGAGGAGCACAATTCATTGTAAATATTTAAATTAAATTCATATTTGGTATGTATGTATGTATATACATATGTACACACTATATTAAAATCACTTTTATGACCAAAAAAATATTAAACTTTCGAAAAGTGAACCTACAACCAATTTAAGTTCTTATTTCCTATGTTTATGACATCACACATATCAAAAAATATAGCGGTACTTTCAGAGCTAAATCTGCTATTTAATAATTAAAGTTTCCTTGAAAATAAAATATAAATGTCTCGCTTTGAAGATATGTCAAATTGTTAATTTTCATTCGTTCAATTCTTCTTGTATGCGCTTTTGCTCACTTGGCCACATCCTTTAAAAAGAATTTGTGTTTAAATTTTGTGAATATTTTATAATGATGCATTATCAAATTGCATCCATACTTGCTTTATACACAACATACACAAATGTGCACACTAGTGCGTACTAATTATGTTTTTGTTCTAAGGTCAAGGCGAAACGGCTTTTAATGTCTACATATGTATATAGCGCGGCGGAGGTCACTGATATCGCGCCAATAGGAAAGGTCAGCAGATGTGTGTTTTCTCTTGCTATTATATTTTTTTGCTCTGCTTGATTATTTGTTCTGCAGTAAAGCAATTGCTGCTTAAATAGATATCAACTACGCTATACATACACATACACTTGTATATCAACAGTGAAAACGACATTGTTTTGCTGGCGGGCTAAATAATATAATTACGTGCGAAGTGTACCTATGTGTGTCTGTACAGAAAATAGATGAATTTCGAAGCCTTTAACTGTAAATACAATGAAAGCGATGCAACAATTTTATATAAATTAATGAACGGTTTTAAATACTTTTATAATAATATTTACATTTTATTCTACAAAAGTCGAAAAGTCAATAGCTGTTTTCTTCATGGGATATACAGCAGTAAACCACTTACTTAAAACATTTACGAACGGAAACGCGGTGGAAATTCACAAACTTCATGACACACTTTTGCAACATGTTACTAACGGTTGTTTGCATCATCTTAAAATAATCGGGATAGATATAGAATTATATATACATATAATTATATATATGTATATATGATCAGCATGATAAGACGAGTTGAAATCCGAGTGATTGTCTGTCTGTTCGTCTGTGCAAGCGATAACTTAGGTAAAAAAAATATCTTAATGGAACTAGGTACACGTGTTCTTTGTGAGAGCTTGGATGGAATCGGATTACAACCTCGTCCATCTTTGTGCCTAAAATGGATAAAATCGGGTGAAAACTTTCTCTAACTGCTATATAACTGATATTCGGCAATTTGAAACATCCAGCTGACTTACTCCTTTTATATTGGCTA